GAGATATTTTGAAGAAAGTTTGTAACCAGGCTGTTTTGGGGCACCATTGACTTCCATAGTAGGAGAAAAAAATACTATGGAAGTCAATGGTGCCCCAGAACTGCTCTGTTTCCCACATTCTTCAGAATATCTTCCTTTGTGTTCTGCAGAACAAAGACATTCATACAGGTTTGAAACTACTTGAGGGTGAGTAAATGATGACAGAGTTTTCATTTTTGGGTGAACTATCCCTTTAAAGAGCTATTTCTACCTTAATTAACCCATAACATGTTTTTACTGGTATAGAAACATTGAATAACTTGAATAAAACTAGTTATTTTAGATGCTACGTTTCTTTTTCTTTCAAAAGGTTCAGTCATTTTTCCCCATACTTGCCAATCTGTTATTTTTAAATTATTTTTGAATATTTTAATAAAAAATATTAAAAATGCTATATTTATATGAAATTAATACTACATTTTATTTAATTGATTGTAATTTTTTATTGGGTCTGAGTGTCCTGTAGTTTCACATTAATTACAATTGAGAACAACACTAAAGCCCATATTTTCACCTACTTTGTATTTTCATTTTGGTAAAGATGTGCAGTTTGAAGTACATCTGCTCATATTTCAATAGCTTAAAATACAGAATACTGATGTTTCATATGAATCATCCACCTATTTGTGGATTTGTGTGTGTCTTGACGCTTGAAATATTTCTAAATCCACAAATTTACATTTACATTTATTCATTTGGCAGACACTGTTATCCAAAGCGCCTTACAATTGAGGAATACAACAAGCGATTCATCATAGGATGTCAATAAACACGAGAAGTGCCCATTATACAAGGTTTCAGTCATCGTTCAAAATAGTAAAAGCTTGGACAGGAAGGGATTAAGGGATAATGAGAGCATAGAAAAAGTGAAAGCAAAGATAATTTTTATTTTATTTATTTATTTATTTTTAATAGGAGGATGTAATCAGATGCTCACGGAAGAAATGAGTTTTCAGTTGTTTCTTGAAAATTGTGAGGGATTCGGCTGTATGAATGGAGTTAGATAGATCATTCCACCAGCAGGGAACGGTGAAAGAAAACGTCCTTGAGAGTTTTCTGGAGGGGGTGTAGACTCGTAAGAGTGAGTGGAAGTAGGAGCACCAATGTCTTGAACTTGATGCGAGCTGCGACTGGAAGCCAGTGCAGAGAGATGAGAAGCGGTGTAACATGGGCTCTCTTGGGCTCATTGAAAACAAGATGTGCTGCTGCATTCTTAATCATTCGCTGAGGTCTGATTGCACATGATGGAAGTCCAGCGAGAAGAGCATTGCAATAGTCCAGCTTAGAAATGACAAGGGCCTGGACAAGAAGCTGTGTCGCTTGTTCTTTTAGGAAGGGCCTGATCTTCCTGATGTTGTGTAGTGCAAACCTGCATGATCGTGCTGTTTTTGCAATATGATCTTTAAAGGTTAGCTGATCATCAAGGATAAACAATCCTGGCCGAACTCGATGGGATTATCGTTGATGAACCTAGCTGGATGGTAAACTGGTGGTGTACTGATGGGGAGGCTGGGAAGATGAGAAGCTCTGTCTTTGCCAGGTTGAGCTGCAAAGTAATGTTCTTTCATCCATGCTGAGATGTCTGTCAGGCAGTCTAAGATCCATGCAGGTACCGTTGGATCATCTGGTTGAAATAAGAGGTAGAGCTGTGTGTCATCAGCATAACAATGGTAGCATTGTTATGTATATGTAGTGTATATAGAGAAGAGGAGCGGTCCAAGGATTGATCCCTGAGGAACCCCAGTGATGTAGTGTATATAGAGAAGAGGAGCAGTCCGAGGACTGATCCCTGAGGAACCCCAGTGATGTAGTGTATATAGAGAAGAGGACCGGTCCAAGGACTGATCCCTGAGGAACCCAGTGACCAGTTGATGTGATTTGGATACCTCTCCTCCACAAGCCACCCTGAATGACCTATCTGTGAGGTAAGACTCAAACCAGTGGAGTGCTGTTCCGGTGATGCCTAGCGATGAGAGGGTGGACAGAAGGATTTTGAAGAT